GGCAACTCGAACTGCGACGAACAATCTTCAACCTGAAGGAACATTTAGAACGCCTTCGCACCCAGCAGACGCAAGAGATGCAGGCGCTGCATGTGGAGTTGCAGCTGCTGCGTGACAACATGCACTCGGCATGGCAGGTTGGTAGAAGGAGGAGTGGGGGCCGTTGCTTGTTCAACAGTGTGGGAAAAGGAGGAGAACCCCTGTCTGTCGCCTTTGTTTTTGGAGGGGGGGGGGAAGCTCTCACACCACTGTGTTGTCATCCACACACACACACACACACACACACACACACACACACACACACACACACACACACACACACACTTGCAGTCGTCGGTGGAAGATTTGAACAGCGCGGCTTCTGGCGAAATCCTTCACGCGCTTCCGCCGAGCACACGCGCGACCATGCTCGAAAACATGCATATCCAGTACGTTTGGAAAGGAGGAGAGGGTGTGTGCATGTGCGTGTGCGGGTCGGTTATGTGTGTGGGTATGTGTGGGTATGTGTGTGGGTTATGTGTGTGTTGCATGAATGTGGTTTGTGTGCATGTGCGTGTATGTGTATGTATGTGTGTGTGCGTGCGTGTCCTCGGTCTTCCTGCCGACAACCCCTCCGTCTATTGACATTTGTGTGTTTGTGTGCCTGCAGGCAAGAGTTGGACCGTCACATGGAGGAAGCAGCGGAGGCAGAGCATCGAATCGCGCAACTCGAGCAAGAAAACGGGTGCGCCGTTGTGTTTGTGTATTTTTGTGTATGTGTGTTTGTGTTTGTGTTTGTGTGTATGTGTATGTGTTTGTACTTGTACTTGTATGTGTATGTGTATGTGCGTGTGTGCGTGCGTGCCTCTCTCTCTCTCTCTGTCTCTGTCTATCCCCCTCTCCCTGTGTCTGTGCTGTTGCGGTTGTATCCCCTCACGTATGGTCATTTCAACGCCTGCCACAGCCAATTGAGGGAGCGGGCTGCGGAATCGAAGCTGAAGAACCAGCTGTCGCGGACCACGTTGCAAGCCAGGTTCAGCAATGGCAATTATGACAAGTTTTGCCGCTCAAGCGCGCACACACACACACACACACACACACACACACACACACACACACACACACACACACACACACACACACACACACACACACACACACACACACACACACACACACACACACACACACACGCACACACACGCACACACACACAGAGACACCCCCCCCCCGACACGCACACACACACACAATTACATACTCACTTCCCCCCATTCTCATTCATCCCTCCAACTACACATTCCCCATCCAACCTCAGGTTGAGCCAGTCGACGACGCTGCCGCTGCAAGCGCCAGTGACATCATCGTCATCGTTCGTGCCGGCGTCACCGTCACCATCACCATCGCTGCTCACTGCATCGCTGCCGGATGCGCGCGCGTTTACACATGCGCGGCAGGACAGCAGGCGAGATCGACAGCGGCAGCGGCGCTCACGCTCACGCAACGGCAGCACCAGTGGTGGACGTGGGCGAGGTGGTGGCGGTGCTGTGGATGATGATGGATACGGATACGGGGATTGGCGCGAGGATGGCAGCGACGCACAGCAACAGCTGCAACAGGGCAAGGGTAAGGGCGCAAGGAAGAAGCAGGCAGCCGATGTGCCGCCGTCCGTGTCGGCGACATTCCTGCACAACATGCGCTCGCAGCAGAGGATGCGGAAGCAGCACTCCGGCCTCAACATTGCACTGGCACACGCACCGTCACAGGACGACGGTGAGGAAGACACGAGTGTTGGCATGGGCGGAACACACACGATCGCGCACATGTGGAACGCACACAGCCGTTCTCACAGTCACCACCACTTCTCCACCAGCGGCAGCGGCGGCGGCGTAAGAAAGGGCGGCAGTACGCTCGTGGGTGTTGGCTCGCGGCTGGCACAAAAGGCAACACCTGCACATGTGCACGGGGCACAGGGCAGCAGCAGCAGCAGCGGCGGCGGCGGCAACGGCAACATGGCAGGTGTTGGTGATGTTGGAGCGGGAACAGCAGGGACGAGGCGACGGTCAACTCAGGCGTCGCTCGCGTTCTTCGACAGCAGGCCCACGTCCCGCCACGGCGGTGATGTTGGCGGTGATAACAGTGACGGCGGTGAGGAAAGAGATGATGAAGAGGATGACGCGCTCACTCGGGCAATGAGGATGGGGAAGGGCCGACGCAGTAGAAAGAAGTCTGTTGCCACTGTCGTTGTGCAGGCACAACAACAGCAACAACAACAGAAACAACAACAACAACAACAACAACAACAACAACAACAACAACAACAACAACAACAACAACAACAACAACAACAACAACAACAACAACAACAACAACAGCAGCAGCAGCAGCAGCAGCAGCAGCAACAGCAGCAGCAGCAACAACAGCAGCAGCAGCAGCAGCAGCACTACCGTTCGTGGCAGCGGTTCGGCGACCGCCCCACGTCCCCGACGGCCGCGTGGGCGTTTGATGCGCTGACCAGCCTGTCCATGGGCGGGGATGACGACGAGGTCAGTGCACATGCGGCCGTGACGGAGCGGTCGCGTGCAGTGGCGTCCATCGCATCACTCGTGCCAACCATGGCCGACTGGGCAACGGAGTTCAGGGACACGCAGCGGTACTGAATGGGGTGAATGACAGGTTCACGCGTGTCGTCCACACATGTTTGGCAGTGGCGATCCGCACAGGTGGTGTGTGATTATTCTCAGGGTAGTTTACGGTTTACTGTTGTGCTCTTCCTTCAGTGGGAGAGCGTAGCAGGAGTGTAATAAAATAAGAACTGATTGTGACACAACGCACACAAATAGGAAACGTTACACAGCCACGCAACACAGAGTGTCGTCTCTGACCAACACATGCATAAGCATATCGTGTTCTTCCACCTCATATGGTTGCGTTTCTCCACGTCTTCCTCACCCACCCCTCTTTCACATCTTTACATTAAAATCAAATAGCAATCAATCATGTGCCCGTGCGTGCCAAACCACCCATCCGTCCATGTCTCATGTCATCCAGCCACACCACATGCCATCCATCCAGCCACATTCTCCACTTCCTCCCCAACATCAACGTCATCAGTCGCCGCGCGAGCGCTGGCTGCCCTTGAGCCGGCGAACGGTCTTGCGATGCTTCACAGCCTCGCACCTGAGCCGCCTGTTCTCCTCCTCCTTCAGCTCCAGCTGCTGCTCCAAGTGCGCAACGCGCGCCTCCAGCCGCTGCAGGTACCCGCCGAGCCGGCTCTGCTGCTCATCGCGCGCATGCAGCTCATCCTCCGTTTGCTGCCATCACGAAAGAAGGGGCGGGATGCGTGTTAGTCAGTGTGTGGGGGGGGGGGGGGAGGGTGGAGACGTGAGAGAGGAAGTGAGCACGAGGGCAGAAGGAGGGGGAAGAGGAAAGATATGTGAAGCATCGAGCATGTGAACACACACACACACACACACACACACACAAACACACACACACACACACCTCTAGTCTTGTCCGATAATGGTTGATGGTGACGGTGGACTTGCACAGCGCGTGTCTCACGTCATCTTCCTCGCCAGCCTGTGCGTGAAGCAGCCACACACAGCACAGCATAGAAGTAAGCAAGTCAGCATCGCCAGCATCGCCAGCAACAAGCCTGCACAGACATACAGAGAGGTACAGACACACACAGACACAGAGGCACGCACACACACACACACACAGACACATGCACACACACAAAACAACTCAGAAACAGACCTGGAGGTTGGCCATGCTTGCACTGGCAGAGACCTGCGGCGTTGTCTGCAGCTCAAGGTCGTAATCAAAGTCTCTGACAAATCTCAGCAGTGCATTCGCCGAGAGGCGCTGGGACGGGTCCTTGGACACGAGATTCAGGGCCCATGAGCACTGGAGTTTCGAGGAGAAGGGGGGGGGGAGGGGAGGGGCAGATGAGGTGGGGGAGGAACAGGAGATGATTGAAGAGTCAAGCAAAGCGCAAACAGCAAATGCAACATAACATTACATAACACCACACAACACACACACACACAACACACAACATAACACCACACAACAAACACACACACGCAACACAACACACCACACCACACACCACAACCACCCACCGGCACGCTGTGCTGCATCATAAAGTCCATGGGTGGGGCGAGGTTCTTGAGGTCGCGGATCTTGTACCCGCGCTCCATCTCCGTCTTGAAGTTGTTCATGAGCTCCAGCAGGATGATGCCGATGGAATACATGTCCGCCTTGTGGTCGTACGTCGCGCCCGCCAGCTGCTCCGGTGAGGAATACGTCTCCGTGCCCAGGCCTGCACGACAACGACGCGGTGGCGGTGGAGCAAACAGCATGCATCAGTTGGCACACACGAATACACACGTGCACACACGTGCACACACGTGCACAC